CCCAATTCCCCAATAGCCCCCGCCGCAGACAAAAGCATCCGGGTGCGAGTGCAAAGGTGTCTGTGCAAACTTCCCCCTGCGGGCCCTAAAAGCACGGCCATCTCCCCGCCGCGCAGAGCGAGCCGCCCTGGGACGCCGAATGAACACGGTGCCTCCGTCCAGGGCTGCATTTACACACGCGCTCCCTGCGCTCGGCCTCGTCGGGGCGGCTGCGCCCCGTAACCCCAGGAGCAGCGTCTCTGGGAGTCGGCCCCGGGCTCGTAATCACCTGTCTTTCACGAAAAGCAGCCGGTTCTCGCTCTCGTCCGTCCGGTCTCCCAGTTCTGGAGGCTTCTAGGGAGCCATTTTGGCGGACTCGAGACTTTTCGAGAAGGCTAACGCCGAGTCTCGTCGAGGGTGGCGCGCCGGCAGCTGGGAAACGGCTGCCGGAAAAGCCCGGAGGAAAACCGCCTTCGTGTCATCCGCTTCGTAACTGTCGCGTAGCAAGCGAAATGTTAGCAGATCAACCCGGTTTCTTTTAAAACGACCTGGTTCAAGGGTGAAAACATTGCTGTCGCCAGGGAGGTGGCAGGGCACGTGCCCGGTGCGGTACGCTTCACCTTGCAGAGGAAGGTTAAAGCAAATATTAGCTTTATCGGCTCCCTCTACTGTAAATAATAACACTCACGAATAAAATAGACCGTGAGGGGCGTCGGTACAGTTTAAATTCAAATTTAATTTTGAGCAATGCTTTCATATTACAGCCCCGACGTTGCTCGTTACCCGGTCGGGATCTAGCCGTTCCTGTGATTATATTAGTAGTCATCTGGGTCGCCCGTTTTGGCCCATTTGGAAACCCTGCGCACAAATGCACCGTGCAAAATGGTGGATTATTTTGTTCGTGTTTATGCTGTTTTGCAAATGGCTGCTGGCACTCGCAGGCAGGACGATTGTGAAAATTTCCCTAAGGGCCTTGATTGCTGCATCTGCTGAGATGACGCAACTAAGGAGTAAGCCTGCAGGGTGAAAGATGGTGCAGAGGGAGGGGCTAGCCAGCCTAGCATTTGCTCTTAGAAGGGTATGAAGCTCTTATTCAGGCGGGCAGGCTTACAGATGGGATGGAAGTTGTGAATGCTTCCAAAAAAAAAAGAAAAAGAAAAAGGGTGGGGCTTGTTTTAAGAGGATAGACTGCTTGTTTAGGAGATCTGCAATGCTAAACTCATTGTAACAGGGTTTTTTTTTTTTTGCGTCCTGACTAGCTCAAGCAAAAGACATCCACGGTTTGAGACTGTAAAATAGAATTTTGTACTACTGGCGTTGCCTTTAAAATACTGGGCTATACTGGGTTATTATGCACTGCTCCCCTGTGACATTGGAATTGGAGAGTAGCCTGGATTAATTGAAACCCTTCAAGTGGAAAGAAGCTGTATTTATTTCCTTTGTGACTCCGGCTCCTTAGTTGGTGTACACCAAGCTGAATTATCTTAATCCCTTGGCAGTCAAGCTTGAATCTCCCGAGGACCTTTTTACATTAAAAAAAAAAAAAAAAAAAAAAAATTTAAATGGTTACTAAAACAATATTTAACCTTAGAGCTAAGAACAGTTTTAGTGCTCCCATGATCTAAGCATTCACAAGTCTTTAAGGCAAGAATCAGTTCTCTTAAATGTCTTAACCACAAGCATTTGAGAGAAGCTTGTACAACACACCTGTTGGCTTTGGAGCCTACTAATTGCAGCTCAGAAGAGACTAACCAGACAGCTAGCGTTTCTAGAGTAATAGCATCCAGTCTATCAAATATGGTTATTGTTCATAAGAATATTTGATTGAAAAGAAGGTTTAGCTTTAGAGGTCATCAAAATCTTGAGCTTTTTTTTTTTGTCACTTGAACTAAATACTTTGAACATCACAAGGAATTCTAATAATGTTTCTTGCTAATGAACATTGGACTAAGAAGCTTCCTTTATCCTATGCCAAGGTGGGAGGCACTCCTCTCTGCCTTCCCTTTTTAAATTCAGGAAGAAGCTTGATTTGCTTTTGTGCTAAGTCCTAGTTTAGCTTTTGAAAGTTCAGGCTGATCCTGAGGGGTGCATGTTTTCCCTTGATTTGCCTTTTTTTTAAAAATTTTTTTTTTAAGCCTAAAAGGTGAAATGTAATGTTTTTCTTTATTTTTAACAAATGTTTTCTTCAGTTCCAGGGTTCCCTTCAATTGCTGTAGTAACCTGGGTCCGGGGCCTCGGTGGTGCTCCTGATGTCCCTCACCCACCCCTGAAGATCCCAGGTGGGCGAGGGAATAGTCAGAGGGATCACAATCTTTCAGCTAATTTATTTTATTCTGTAAGTATGAACAATATCATGCTGAGAGATCTTTAATTAGTTTTTTTTTTTTTTTGCGTGGTGATGAACTGTATGCAGAGGCAAATAGTCGAGTACTGTGTTCAAGAAATGCATTCAGTGAGAGGTTTAATTATTTGAACTTCACGATAAACTGGAAACAACTCTTTTTTTTTTTTAACACCATAGGATAATCGGCTGAATGTAACAGAGGAACTAACATCTAATAACAGGACAAGAATTCTGAATGTCCAGTCCAGGCTTACAGATGCCAAACACATTAGTTGGAGAGCAGTGTTGAACAACAACAACCTCTATATTGAAATTCCCAGTGGTGCTCTGCCTGAAGGGAGCAAAGACAGGTAGGCACAGCAGTGCATTATGTAATGCTCTTTAATGAGCCTCTTTGGGAGGGAGTTTTGTTGCTGAAACATGCCTTGGCATTTGCAGCATCCCCTTGTTGCTGATGCCAGGTGTTCTGCAGTTTTCCACGGCAATAGAATTTCTGTGCCAACAGGACAAATCTATTTATTTGTGAAGTGCTGTTGTAGCACTAAGGATTATTTCCATCTTTGGTGTGTCCTGTTGATGTACATGCACCAGCACAACCTGGTGCCAGGAAAATGCAGGATCTAGATGCAGTTATTCTGATGGAAGCTTCTGGTTTGGGGAAGGGGGGTGGTTTGAGACAGAGAGAGACTGAGACTGAGTGCATGCCAAATTTCCACTAGGGGCCTCTGCTGTCAAACTGAACCAGACAGGTATTGCAGCAGTTCTCTGATATTGGAAGCATTCATCTCAGTTGCTGGAGATGATGGCTAGCATCTAAACAATACAGACTATTGCCCTACTGTTCCTTCCCCCATGGAAAGATGAGCCACTTTCCTATTGGGATGACTTTTCATAAAGGTCAGTTTAATAGTAAAGCTGATGTGGCTTGTGTTGTGACAACTAAAGATCAGTTAAAATTATTCCTGATCCCACAACTTCCTCTTGTCCTTAAAAATGTAGTGGCCTAGTCCTAGTTATGTCACATGGCAGTTCTGAAGGAGTTGGACATTAAACTGCATTGAATGAATTGGGGGAGGGGGGATGACAGTCAGTGTTTAAATAGGGCTGAAGCATCTCTGTCAGTATGGCTTTGGGTAAGTGCATTGCTACTTGATTTGTACTGTCAAAATTTGCAGTTGCAAGTGCCCAGATATTCAAGGAATCCTGTGAGCACTTGAAAAGCTGTTGTGGATAATGACCATAGACCTTTTATCAAACATAGCTAAAACCTTTTCTTTTTTCACTTCAGTTTTGCAGTTCTTTTAGAATTTGCTGAAGAACAGCTTCAAGTTGATCATGTCTTCATATGTTTCCACAAGAATAGAGATGACAGAGGTGGGTGTAGACTGTACTCTTCTAAACTCATTCCCCAGCTAGTTCACAAACACATCCCTGTTTATGTAAGTGTTAATGTGGTGTAGCATTATAGAAACAGATCTTGTCATCAGATGGATTATACCCATCTTGGGGTTTGTCTGAGTTTTTCAAGCAACACATGAAACTTAATGTTTTTCTACTTTTACAGCTGCATTACTCCGAACTTTCAGCTTTTTGGGCTTTGAGATTGTGAGACCAGGGCATCCCCTTGTCCCCAAGAGACCAGATGCTTGCTTCATGGCCTACACGTTTGAGAGAGACTCTTCCGAAGAAGAATAGATTGCAATGTTTGCCTCTTTAGAGCTTTCCTGTTGTTTATGAAGATGAATATGTAGAAATTTTGTCAACATCTTTTACAATGCATAGAATTGTTTGTACAAAACGTTGTGACCAACTGCTTGGGTGGGGAGATGTTGAAAATTTCAGACTTCGTCATCTTTTCTGGATTTGTGCGCATGTTGTGATTGTGCAAATAAATGCTCACTCCAAATTAGCAGTATATTTCTTGAGGTTTAATATTGTGTTTGTGATACTGAAGTATTTGCTTTTAATTCTAAATAAAAATTTATATTTTACTTTTTATTGCTGGTTTAAGATGTTTAAGATCTTCCCTCCTGTTCTGAGGAGCTCCCCCTTAACTAGGAAGCTGTGTTTTTTGGAAGGCAGACTCTACTGGTAGGTGTAGGTTGAAAGAACAACTCTATCCGCCCTCACTGCTGACAGTTAATAACCAATAATGTCTTGTCTGGATTGGATGAATCCCCTGCTACCACATGACATGCACTTTGTTAGTGAGATGTGACTTTGCAGGGGTGTTGAAAAGCCTGCTCCTACCGATCGGTTGATTTGGTTTTTGCCCTTTTTTTTATAGGCAGTCAGTCATGAAGAAGAGTATTGGAACTGGCTGCAATGCCTCAGACTTGTCTGAACAGGTGTAAAGCCAGCTGGATCCAGCCTGCAGATAGCTGCTGTCTGGCCCCCTTTGAAGTTTGGGGGTTTGGCTGGGGCAGGGGGGAGGAAATAGCCTTTACCCATTGCCACTGCCACAGCTGGTCCTTCCTGGCTTCTGGCTTTACTGTTGCCCCATGCTGGAGTGGCAGCAGCTGCAACATGGGACACTTCGATGAGAGCCAAAGCTGTTCCCTCTGTCACCACCACATACCCTGTGTTGCATCTGGCCTGCAAAGAGCTCTACTGGCTGGATCTGACCGGGGGCACAAGGTGCATTGATGCCTGTGACCTAAGGGAAACTACTTGGATAGAGACTGGCCTTTCACCAAAGACTTATACAAATAATTTGGTGTTTACTGCACAATCTTAATGTAGACATTGCAGACAAATGTCACCATTTGTGGTGTTCTTTGTTACTAGCCTAGATAACCATAGGTATGATTTTAATGTTTGAAGTGCCTTTAGCATAGCTAGGAAAGACTAGAGACACCAGGCCTGGCTGCAGAGGACACGAGCCCCATCATCTTTGTTCCAACACTCCCATCCCACCCCCTGAACTAGTGTTAGTTCACAGACTTGTGTAGAAATGGTAAGTAAGCAGTGACTTGCTCTTGTCACTGATCTGGTGATGAGGGGGAGGAGAAGGCTGACTTGAATGCTCTCCATATTCTGTCTACTGGATACCTTTTCTTCCTGCTAGTCCCATTCTACAGGGCGGGGGGAGGTGGGGGGGCAGTGTCTTTGTATAATCCTGATTACTTTGCCACTCCTTTGCTTGCCCTGCTAGGCAGCACCTGTTTAAATACTGGAAGCTGCCTGCTGGTGACACTTAATGATATGCATCACTGGTGAGCAGGAGTGGTGGGGAAACAAATTCTAGTGA